TTATTATTATTATTATTATTATTATTATACTATTATTATTATTATTATTATACACAGTAAATGGACCCTCAATTATTGGCATTGATTAGTTTTAGGAAGTAACCTTTTATTGTGAAAGAAATAAAATTAAAAATTGCACTAGTCTTTGTGAGTTTTATGCTCGCTCATTCATGAGGTGACAGCATCGTTAAATTTTTACAATCCCAATTGAGAATACAATACAATACAATGGAAAAAAGAAATAACTTTGCCAAAAGAAATTCTGTTGCCTGGTTTCCAAGTTCAAAAAGAATGAACTGTGATGTTGGGACTACTACTCAACTTCTCCTTTCGTAGTTTGTTCTGATTATTTAGCAAAACATGAATCTTAAGGCCCACTTCCCCAAGGCACTTATCTTGTTCCTCTAATATCTTGTTTGCAGAAAGCACCAGTGAGTCGGCACAGCCAACCACAATGATCTCCCTAAGCGTGGGTATATCCCCAATTTCCAATGGAATCTCCTTCAGCTTGTCTAGCTTCTCTAGGTCGAGCTGCTCGAGACGCGGGAAGTGCGCGGCCTCTGCCCTCCACTGTTCCAGATCAGAGCACCCAACGATTGTCAAGTATTTCAGGCTGTGGAATCCTCCCTCGGCTGTTTCCCACTCGGGCCCCACGAACGAATAATAATATAGATTGAGGGCCTCGAGATATGGCAACGAGCCTATCTTTGTCCCCATCTCCTCCCACCCCAGCCTAGTGTCAGCTTCCTGAGCATAATCGGGAACGATGTCACCTCAATTCGTCGAGAGGGATATGTAGAAGAGCATGAAATTGAAAGGGCCTCCAGCTTGTGTAGCCGTGTGAGATTGCCGAGATCGTGATTGGGCGGTGATAATATCTTGTCGTACCAAAGCCCCAGCTTCTTGATATTGGGGATTCTCTCAACCACTTCCTCACTCAACCTCAAGTTAAGTACTTCCTTGAGCGTCTCTAGCTTCTCCAACACCATCCCATCACCATTTTCGAATTTTCCCATTAATGGAGGAGGAGGAGGAGGGTTCGTGAGCTGGAGACAGTATAACTTGACGTGCCTGAGTTGGGGAGGAGGAGGAGGAGGAGGAGGAGGATCCGTGAGCTGGAGACAGTATACCTTGACGTGCCTGAGTTGAGGCATCCGCCAGATGTCCAGCACCGACAAATTTACGGACTTACCAACTATTAATGTCTGTAAATTCCAGAGACGGTAAAAAACTTCCACACGGAATTGAATCCCTGGGGCAACCAGGTGGCACAAGTTGACAGGAAGAAATAATTCTTTTCCATAATATCTAGGCCCGCAAGTAAATGCATTCAGAATCCGCAGCAATCTAAAGGGATCTACAGATGGTAATCTTCCATTACCTTTCCACATCAGAGTTCGCGCTCGTGATGCGGATTGCACAAAATTAGGGAGTCGAATGTATTTCCCAGCTTGGTGAATGCCAATACGGCGTTGGGCACGCCAGCTAATTTGGTCGTGATGGTCAGTGTTGTTGTGTGTTGTTGTTTCCATGGTGCGAAACAATTTGTATTTCTCAGCTTCCTTTATGCATAGGTCTCTCAGGAGATCGTGGATGCCGCAGCGTTTTATTCTTCGAGTAGGCCCCCACTCACGAACCATGATTAGATTTCTGATGACGAGACCATGTAGGTACACTTCTCTCGCAATGGTTCCCAAGCTTTTACCGCCCACTTGTTTCACAAATCCTTCAGCAACCCATAGTTTGAGGAGTGTGGGGACGTGAATCCTGTGGTCCTCCGGGAACATGCCCATGTAAAGAAAACACGGCTTCAGGTGGACCGGCAGTTGATTGTAGCTCAACTTTAGTATTCTAAAGGAATGCTCGTCCTTCTCTAAATTCACGATCGGGCTTAAATTATCTAAAATGTGTTTCCAGTTTTCATGTTTCTGTTCAGACTTTGCTAGGAATCCTCCGATCACGACAATTGACAATGGAAGGCCTCTACAGTTCCTGGCAATCTCCTTCCCAATCTCTTCCAATTCTGGTGGGCATTCTTGTTCGTGAAACACACACCTACGCAGCAGATTCCAGCTTTCGTCTTGATTCAAAAACCTCATCTGAATGTAATCAGGGCCATCCAGCTGCAAAGCCACGTTCGATAGCCTAGTGGTTATCAACACTTTGCTCCCGTCGTTGTTATTGGGAAAGAAGCGCTTCACCCCGTCCCACGCTTCCATACTCCAAATGTCATCCATAACAATCAGATACCGTCGGCCATATAAGCTTTGATACAGTTTTTGTCCTAATTCTTCATATTCGCATTCACTGTCCTCATTCCCCATGGTTAAACAGTCAAGGACTTCTACCAAAATCCTTTTCGAATCAAATTCTTGAGAAACTGTAGCCCATCTGCGAATATCAAATTGTTCCACAACAAGTGGATGTTCGTAAATTCTTTTAGCAAGAGTGGTCTTACCAATACCGCCCATGCCAGCAATCGCGATGATCCAACGGCTAGATTGTTGATTGATCAGCTTATCCATGACGTCGTTCATGAAACTATCGTCCCCCGCTGAATTAGAAGGACCGTTGAGCTTATCCATGATGTCGTTCATGACATCATCGGAACCCAGCATGGCGTCATCCTCCGTGGAAGGAGTAATTTTTTTCCCCACCTTGTCTTTAACAGCAGCCACGTCTTTTGTGATGGAATCCAAGTCGTGCCTCACTTTCTGTAGGTTGCGATACAACAAGTCGTCTTTTGTGATGGAATTCGAGTCTTGCATCACTTTCTGTAGGTTTTGATGCGAGTCGTCTTTGTTCAAACTCTTGTTGTTATTGATACAAAGGGTCATTTTTCTTATCTGTTTCTGTAGGTATCGATACAAAGAGCCGTTGTTGGAAGTGATGTTAGCCTTAGCAAGAGCCTCAATATGATCGGCAATATGAGACTCAATGATATCCTCTGCCTAGTGAGCCGCATCAATCATACGCCCCTCCAACCCATCTTCATCATCAATGATATAATTTTCAAGAAAATCTTGCAAGAAAGCAACCTTTTCTATCAGAGGTTCGATTTGTGGTTTGTCGAGGGAGATGGGTGGGCGGGGGTGATTTTGGATTTGGTCTATGGTTTTGGTAAGAGAAAGCAGAGCTGCATAAGCTGCCATGGGTCCCCCCTGTTGGTGAAATGAAATCCAGTCAGGTATAGTTAGGAAAAGTGTATGATGAGAGGTGACAGTATGAAGATTTTTCTCAAAGGCTTGTGAAGGAGGAGAAGATGAAGATTCTCAGATGAAAGGTAAATGATAGATTAGGTACAACGTTTAATTTCCAGTTGGGACCAAGGCAGTGAGCAGCCCATCTTGACCAATATTGTCAGAAAACCAATAATTCTGCTCATGTAATAATTTTATATTCATGCAAGGATTTTGTGATACGGATTACAAAACCATTCACTTTTTCAACCCAGCAATTTCTCTTTTCTACTTTACTTCCAATTGTCGGAAAATAAATTAATCACACATGCTTTATATGTGATGCTTAATGATATTTCCCGTAATGAAATATTTGACATTTCTTTCGGCAAATTCAACTTATTAGTTATTACACCCCAGGTGGTGAAGAGCCAATATGATATTCTTAGTGTTTTTGGCGCCAAATANTAATTAGATCAAACCTCAAGAGTACTCAGGGTGCTATGTTAATGGGGTTTGGCAAGGGAATGGGCCGGTGGTAACTTCATATAATCCAGCTGATAATCAGGTTTATTTTGATCTTAAGCTAGCTTTTTTAATTAATTAATGCCTGAGTATAATTCTTTATCTGATGTTTTCGATTTGTAAAAAATCTGTAATGCTTTTGGTTGTGATAAAAGAACAACACTCAGTCAATAAGTAAAATATATGGAGCATAGCAGTTGTAAATATTTCATCCTTGATGATTACATGGTCTTGTAGTGTGCTAGCTAGGTCTATCTGTTTTAGATTCAGATGAAATTCAAAAAATAAATCTCCATTTTTTTATTCAGTTAAAATTTAAATTAAAACCTATCACTCAGCAAATTTAAATTTTTTATTCACTTTTATTTATTGGCTTAACGATTATTTTAGATTAGATTAAGTAATGACATTGTCGGTGAAGATGCAAAGTTGAAGTGGAAAACTAACATTTTCTCAATGTGCAGAAGTTATTGAGCTGTAATGTCATTGTATGTCAAGATCAGTCAGGCCTACTAACTTAAATGCTTCCAACTGTTTCGTATTAATGGTTGTACGTACTCAAAGCCCAGATCCAAGTCTACCATTCACATTTCATTTGAGTCTTATTCTTTATTTGAGAAAAATCTTCTTGCCTTCAGTTCTCATAGCTGATTGGATTTCATTTCACGATCCATGGCAGCTTATGGAGCTCTGCTTTCTCTTACAAACACCATAGTCATACACCAAATCCAAAATCACCCTCATTTCCCTCCACAAACTACAAATCGAACCTCTGATATTCCTATTTTTGTTATAAAATACTATAATAACGATTTAAGAAAATTACCGACCGCTTATTATGGTCTCAACCACCTTTTCTGCGTCTTATAATATGCACCTTTTGTTGTGGTGTCCGTATTTAAGTTTCATCCCTAGCTTATTACTCAAAGAGCAAGAGACTACAATGCCCACAGAATAATTTTTATTAAATAAAAATTTAAATTATAAATTTTTGTTTTGTTATTCCTATTTTTTATTCTGATGTTTTATATTTATAAATTAATCACAAACTCTAGTATTTATCTTAATGATTTTGTAATTTTTTGTTCGAACTCATATTGTCTCACCTATTTGTCTTGACTACCAAGAAGGATGGGGGCAGTTAATATCTGGTATAACAGTTTAAGGTGTGTGAATCATACTAGAATTCTTTCCCAGACTTATGTTATAATACAATCAATATAAGCAGAAAAATGGTGGAAGAAAAGGTAGTTTAAATGCTGATCAAGGTGTTTTCTGAGTTTATAGTAACTAGTGCGTGGCCCGTGCGATGCACGGGAAAATAATATTTTGATTGTAATATAAATTAAATAAATAAATAACATTAATCATGATTTACCTATTATTTTTAAATTAAATCGGGTTGGACACAGTCCGACCGGATGGACCGAGAACCGGTTTATAACATGTCTAGTGCGCTTGAATAAAATATTTGCTATCGAATCCGTCAACACCAGTCTGTTGGACTGATATGATCGATAGGATTTTCTAAACAAATTTTGTTACATTAAAAATTATTTTAAATAAAATTACATATTTAAATAAAATAAAAATTTATAAATTGTTTATCAATTAGTTTAAACATTTGAATTTATAAATTGTATAGATATTTAAGTAACAATTTTTATTTAAATTTACTACAAAAAGTACTATATATATACACTAAAGTATGATGTATTAAAATATGAACAACCACAAATGATTTAATAAAATAACTTGATCGTTTCGATGACGGTCCGGTTCTGAAAACCTTATATTTACCGTACATTAATATAAATTATAATAAAATAATTATTTTGTTCACATAAATAATAATAAAATTATATATAAATATTCATAAATCATTAATGATGTATGATTATTTGAGGTTTGGACTACATCACATTCACGTAATAAAGTATTTTTAATGTTAAAATTTATATTTAGATTCAATAATCGATTTGGTCTGGTCAAACTGATACATAACTTAGTTACCTGGGACCAACCAAGTTGTGTCAAGTTTTTTTACTATTTTAAATATCACTTAAAAGTAATTCAATCAATATGGGCAGTACCCTAATTCAATCACCCGATTGATCCAAAGTAATTTCCTTATTTTCTTTAAATAATATTTAATTTTATGAAATTAAAAAATTTTATGATTCATATGTCTGCACCAAATGATAGTATATTAAGATTATAAATCATATATCTAAAGATGAATTATTTATTTTTATTTTATGCATATTAATAAAAAATAAACATAGTAATTTAAAATAAAAAATCAAGATTAATAGATTGGGTATGCAATTTAAAAAATATTTTTAGCATTGAATATATATATATATATATATTTTTAACGTGATTGAATTTTTGGATTAGAATATATACATTTAAAATGATTTTATTATTAAAAGTCAAAAAAAAAAGATGTCATAAAGATTACAACTTTGAAAAGTTTGTAACCATTAATTTAGGAATCATCCGATTTTAAATAATTTATAATTTTTGAAACATGATACGTGCATTTAAAACCCATTAATTTAGGAACCATCCAATTTTTTGATAATGAATTAAAATTAAAATATAAAATAAAAAAATTGCTGAAAATAGTATATATAATAAAGTGGGTTGATTTTTCCTTACTACTATTTATGGTAAATATTAATTCTTATTATATATATATAGATATAGATGCTAAATGAGTATGGGCTTAAAGAGATCATCAATATACTCGCCTTCAAATAGATACATTATACTAAGAGAGTAAGAATGACATTAAATGACTAAAGGTACATAAACTAGTGATGCCCAGTTGCTTCTTTCTGTGACAAAATTATTATCAATTTGTGTATCCATTCTTATTATGATGCAAGTTTAATAAACTAGGAAGTTGCACGAGCGACGCACGTGATTATTCATTTGTTTTTTATGATTTAAAAGTTATATTTTTAGAATTTATGCTTTAAATTCAAAATTTTTTATTTTGGTTAATAAAAGAGGAAACACGTGTATAATAAATTATATTAATGTATTGGTACTGAAATATAATTTTTAATATTTGCTAATTTATAGTTAAATAAAAAAATAATTTGTGTTAAACAATCCAAAAATGAAAACAATCATTTTTTCAGTGTTAACGAAGTCTTATTTATCTATCATCTGTTAATTAATATTGTCTTCTTCATGGTTTGAAACAATGATCATTGTTGTCCAGTTTTACTATGGAGTCATCGGATGACTCGGCTTATGGAGCCATCCATAGTTATTGACAAATGATGTATTGACACGTGTACTACAATAAATATACTTTGGACATGTGTCAATATATTAAGTAATGAATGACTTCATAAGAAAATCATCGGATGGCTCCATAAAATGGGCATCTGTCTAAAAGTATCTTTTTAATCAAGGTGGTTGCTAGGAGATCAATAGCTTGATAATGCTCAGAATTTTCACAATCTTATGGTCGTGTGATATCCCTCACACGTGTTGCTGGAGCATAACTATTGAAAAGAGAATTGTTTCTAATTTTTTGTTTCTCTTAGAATCATTTGAATTCTTTGTGAGTGTACGAGATTATGTGTGGTGGATTTTTTATAGTTGGAAATTTTCACGATTTCATTGTTCTATGATGCAAGTGACTGATGATTATTAAGCATCCCTTATCAGTTGGATTAAATGAAGTTACCACCGGCCCATTCCCTTGCCAAAGCCCATTAACATAGCACCCTGAGTACTCTTGAGGTTTGATCTAATTAAAAATTATTTTTAGGTACCAATACATTTATATAATTTAGTAGAGTAATGCTATTTAGCCAATTTGGGTAACAACTTGGATTACAACCCAAGTATAAATGCATTATCAAGAAATTAAAAAATAATATATTTACACCTGAATTGTAATCCAAGTTGTAACCCAAGTGGGCTTTGTAGCATTACTCAATTTAGTATACATGTGTTTTCTCTTTTATTGAACTAATGAAAAATTTTGAATTTTAAACATAAATTTAATAAAAGGATAACTTTTAAATGTAATCGCTACTAACAACAGTGAAAAGTAGATATAAAAATAATATATCAATAAAAACAAAGACAACAATGTAAAAATTCTATGGAGTCATCCGATGGTTTTCTTATGAAGCCATTCACATCTGTACACGTGTCAATACACCATTTGTCAATAACTATAGATGGCTCCATAAGCCGAGCCATCCGATGACTCCATAATAAAACTGATATAAAACAATAGTTGATTAGTGATATTTGAGATGAAATAAATTGTAAATACATATAAAGCAATAGTTGATTAGTGAGATTTGAGATGGAATAAATTGTAAATACATATGAACAAATTTTAAGTAAAACAAAATATCATAAAATAGTTATTTTTGTTATTTTTTAAACACGTTTGAAAAAAATAATATATGAGAAAAGTAAGTATTAAAATTAATGAATTATATAATTGTTTTAAGAAGTATTCTCAATCTAAATATTATGCGATTATTATATGTAAAATTTTAAAACATGCATTATCTCTTTTTGATTTGCCATTTTTTATCTTTAAAGTAATCTATGTAATTATCAACCCTAGTGATGACTATTGAAATTTCTAAAATTATAAAATAGTTGGAAAAATTAAATAAATATATTATAATTCGTCTATTATCATATTTTGTACAGCTATATCAAATTGATTATCTTTCTTATATGTTATTTATATTGCATATATAAATTAAAACTTACTTGTCAATTACTTTATATATCTATTAATCAATTATATATTATGAGTTCAAAATATTAATAATTTATGATCATCAAATGTTTCATATGTCAAGTGCATTTTGAATAACATTAATAATAAATATTTAAAAATATGAAAAAAAAATTCTATTTATGTATTTATTTTCATTTACTTTTAGTTTGTGTCCTTTTATCTTAATATGCACAAACAAATTCACCCATTTCAAAATGTAGACAATCCATGTCCTTTGTTATCATAATAAATAAAATTTTGTACTTCCTTTAAAAATAGTTTAATGCTATCATGCTATTTTTTATTAAGAAATATTTTTTCCAATTTTTTAAAAATATTTCAACATTATTTAAAAAAAAAAACAGTAAAAATAATAGCTGGTTACAAACTGCACAGTTCCGTATCATGTAGTTGTAGAATTACCATCAGCAATGTAAATAAATACGCTTTCCCCANGGGTGAAATTGTGGGATCATTTCTATTTGAGGTGGTTATTAGTTGTGGATGGTGGGTTCGAGCTTACTTGACTTGTCTTTGCGAATTGAATTGTTACTGAGGATGATGGATGAGCTAAATTCAAACCCTTTTGATTGCGTATTTTCATCGATTGTGTTCTGTATCGCGGATGACATTGATGGAACTTATAAGACGTACAAAGATCAACGGAATTAGGGATGTTTCAGTTTCAGAAATAAGTATGATTCGTGTATATGTTGAATGCCTCCTGATGATTATGTATTACGTCTATGTTCATAACCTTTCTAATCTGACAGTTCTTCCGGACAAGATGAAAAATTTATGTGTAGAGTTGGAGCGAATGTTTGGAAGTTTCTTCTTTCTTCTTATTTTCTGTCTTTTGTAGACAAATTAAGCTTATGGAAAATTAAGCTTATGGAATATATTTCAGGTGTGAGCTCGAGAAATAAAGATGGTGAAAGTGACTATGATTGCTCGTGTTACTGATGGCCTTCCTCTAGCAGAGGGGTTGGATGATGGCCGTGATGTCCCAGATTCCGATTTTTACAAGCAGCAAGTGAAGTCTTTGTTCAAGAACCTCTCAAGGGGTCAGAACGAGCCTTCGAGAATGTCGGTTGAAACAGGGCCATACATATTCCAGTATCCTTTTAACATGTTTAGTTAAGCTTTTAATGTTTTATTCTCTTTGCATGTTTACATACATTGATGGTTACTTTGATGCCCATTTTCCAACTGCCATGTATTGCCAAAATGTCGTGTTGAACACTTGTAGAATTCTTGTTTTTGGTTCCTTATTATTTATATAATTTTTTCGATTGGTTGTGTGCTGAGGATGAAGCTGTAAATTGGTGTATTTAGTTTCTTTCTACATGAAAATCATTCTCAAGCTGTTTCATTTACTTGCTAGTTGGAATGCTTGCTAGTGGACAATGTGGGTAATTTGAAAACATGGGAGTGCACTTTTACTTTGGGTCCACATGCCAGTTGGATATAGTTGATGGGAGAACTGAATCAACTGGTGGGTTTTTGGTAATTTCACAATAGCCGATATTTATTGAAGTGTACTTCCTGCTGCTAAATACAACACGAGATTAATGACATTCAAGCTAAGTCTTTGTGACGAACATGTGTTTCATACCTCATTTGGTAATAGTATTACTATTTTTCTTTCCTCATCATATGGAAATTGGCGACCTTAACACGTGTGACTAGTTATATTATCGAAGGGCGCGTGTGCTACTTGACAATGTGCGATCGTGCTTATCCGAAGAAGCTCGCCTTTCAGTATTTGGAAGACCTAAAGAATGAATTCGAACGAGCATATGGAAATCAAATTGAAACTGCTGCAAGACCTTATGCTTTTATCAAATTTGGTGAGTTAAAATGCACATGCTCTCTCTTTTAGGTTTAATTTAACAACTACGTGCAGAGTTCTCAAACTGAACGTTTTTTATTTCTTATTGCTGGCATCTCTTTTATTTGCTAGATACATTTATACAGAAGACAAAAAAATTGTACCAGGACACAAGGACTCAACGGAATATTTCAAAGCTGAACGATGAATTGTATGAAGTTCACCAGATAATGACTCGCAATGTACAAGAAGTTCTTGGCGTCGGTGAAAAGTTGGACCGTAAGTGAATACACGTCAAACTTCTCGTCAAGTTTAGATTATGCTGGAATATTGTTAGACAAAACAATATTAGTGACAGAATAGCTTGCGTTTCTCAAAAGTCTGTTTCTAATGGACATGGGCTATGTTTTGTAAAGCTAGTGTATAAGTTAGCTTAGCAAATAGCTAAGCTTAAGTGAATTTCGAGTTTATAGCTGATAATGGCTTATGATTGAAAAGTTAGCTTATATAATAAAAGTGCTTGGTAAAATTAGCTGATAATAAAAATTTCAACGGGCTATTTGAAAAGCTACTCAAGGAAGCTTAGGAGATAAGCTCGAGCTTTTTAAAAAAGCTCGTCCTACCAAACTAAGCTTATTTGAAAATAGGAATCTTATAAACTAACAAATAAGCTTATGGTGCTCACCAAACACACTCATTGTGTTAGAAATGACATTTTACAAATTGAAATTCTTGGGCAGAGCCTTTTGTAAATTCTCAGCTATGTTTTTCTTGGTTTTGAACTTCTGGAGACCTTTGGTACATTGATTATTTGCATATAACTGATAGTATTTATTATCAACCTTTTTCAGATGTCTCCCAGATGTCCAGTCGCTTGACATCTGAATCTCGCATATATGCAGATAAGGCAAAAGACTTGAACCGGCAGGTTAGTTTTATTATTTACTTTTTTTTTTTTTTCATTTTCATGCGGCTCTTCTAATTGTTTGTGAAGACTTTCACAGTGAACATATATCTGCACAAGTTTCTCTCTGTTTAACCGGTGCTTAGTAATAATAATATTTTTCCCAACTTCTTTTCCAAATCTACGTATAATAAATCATATTCGACACTGATTCTTGCATGAACGATACCCATGCCTTATTTGTGATTGTCTGTATTGATGTGCGTGAAATCCAAATTGACCCATCGGTTATTTTCTTCTCCATATTTACCTCAAACTGCTTCAGTTTAATTTCTTAACTTCCATTTCTATAAGACGGTATCAATGATTGTATCGGCTAATTACTGTAGGCTTTGATTCGGAAATGGGCACCAGTAGCTGTTGTGCTAGGAGTTGTTTTCCTCCTCTTCTGGGTGAAAAACAAATTGTGGTGAACTTGCACTGTGCACCCCTTTTGCGGATAATGAAATGTTACCTTCTTAGTAAAACATTTTGCAGATTTCATATTGCAATTCATCTTTTTTATATATTCGGAAGCTTTTGAAGAGAACTAGTTCTGTTTTTTTTTACTGTGAGGCGCATCGCTTTAGAACATGTTGTGAAAATAGAGATTCTTTTATGTAAGAGACCATTTGTTTAGCAACCTCAAGATCAATTATCTTAAGGGAAAGCCAGGAACGAGAACAAGAACAAGAAGATAAAAATAGTTTATAGATTACCGTAACAATTGCAAGATTTTCGACAGTAACAGATCAAAATGCTTAACAAAAAATAAAGAATATGTAAAAATTGAAACAAATTATGTGAACCGAAGTATTTCGCTGAAAACATATTTTATCATCCGTTTTTATTGGTTTCACGGGTTTTTGTAGCTGCCGCTGTTTTTACACCTAGCGAGAAATTCAAGATTAATTGATGGAGCAATTGTCACAGATATTTTTGTTTCTGATTACAATGAGAATATTAGCGGACCGAAGTTTCAGTTCTTACAAGACGTTGAAGTAAAAAACTGGAAAAAGGAACTTAATCAGGTGTTGCAATAAGTATAGCCGTGATGAGATTTTCTTTTTTCTTTATTTTTTTTGTGCAAAACAAAGGTATTGGCCTCTCGTCAAGATAATGCGATATAAAATCTTGAAGTCGTAGCACACCAAACTTCAAAATTTTGGTAAAATCCTGAAGTCAGTAGCTCACCAAACTTCAAAATTTTGGCAAATCAAAACAGAAAAATAATACATAGGAAACACTAAAGAAATTAAGGTTCATAAACGTAATATCTTATGGAATTAAGTAATATTTGATTTTTCAATAAAGAAATTGTTTTTAATCATGTTTGAAAAGTATTATCAATTTATCTTCTCACCATTTTCCAAAAGCTTTTGTGATGGCACTTCCATTGGGGCTAGCAACACAAAGTAACATAAATTGAAAATAAACTAATTTTATTTAAAACATAGTCCAATATCCCATGTTAAACATCTCCCGTTTAAAATGTCCAATTTCTATGTATCTAATACCCATGTTAAATATTTCCTTTTTTTATGACTTTTCCCAAATTTTCAATAAGAAAAAATCGAAGCCCAATTCAGGTATTCAAATTACAAGAAGGCCCAAAACCTTTTTTTTTTTTCCAACGGTAACCTTATTTTGAAACTTTTTTGTTTTCTTTTTTAACCTTATTTTCAAACTTAAAACCAAGAAAATGTGGAATCCCATTTCACTGGCTTCTCACACACAATAAGCTCTCTTTCCTCTAAAACTGTCTCAAGACTCCAAATACGAAAATGGGTTTGCCTGAAAATGAATTTTATGAGGAATCTGAAGGTGATTCCGTATATTCCGACGATTCACACGAGGACCCGAGTTTCGATGTTCTTGATGAGACTCGGCTATCTTTCTCAAATCTCTCGCTAAAGAAGAAAACCAAAACCCGGTAAATCAAATTCATTTTTATTCAAGAACCTACGCCTGATTCTTATCTCTCTATTTTCATATTCAATGTTCATTTAGTTTCCATTTTAGTATCTTTCTATGTGAAGATTGTCAAGAAGTGTGTGAAGATTAAGTGTTTTTTTGTGGTTGTGTTTGTGTGTGTGTCAATTTAATTGTATTTTTCTAATCCTCATTTTTATTAGTGACATCTGATTTTGGCAATGCCATGTTTCGTAGTATTGTTAAGAGAACTAATGATGAAGAAGACGAACGCCCAGACGTGATTGAAGCAGTTATTCCTGAACTCAATGAGGAGGACAGAAAAATTTACGAAACGATTCGGAAAATTATTGAAGGTCTTGTTAGTTTTACTAAAGGGACGAACTTTTGGATTTGTGATTGTGATTTCGAGCAAAACTTTATACTCCGATTCGATTCATGTTGTTTTGGGATTACGACAGATGGTGGGGTGGAGAGACTGAAAGTGGAGCAATGCAAGATTTACTTAAGAAAACATGGATTGAGATTGAGTGGCAACAAGGAGACTTTAATTCTGAGGATTAAGGAGCACATTGAGTAATAATTTCATTCCCTCTTTTAGTTGAAATGGATGTTTTTCATTTTGATTGTCTGTTTATGAATTTAGTCGCATTTCAGGATTGTCGATGGAGGTGGGGAGAAAAAGTATCCGGCATCAAGTTTTGTGTTGAATTGCAAAGGTAATCTGTTATTTGCTTCAAGTTTTCTGGAGTGTTACTCATTTTGTAGCTTCTTATATGAACTTATAGTGATTATTTGTTCAAAAAAGTAATGGGATGTAAAAGAATGAATAAAATGGGTGTTCGTTCCTTAAATGATCTTATTAAGGTTTTGGTTCGGATCATGGTACTTTGTTTCTATGTTGTGACACGTCTCGTCACGTCTCATTTGAGCTTTAAACTACGGCAGGTGATGCTTGCACGGGAGATATTGTCATGTTTGAACAGAACGTGTATGAAGCGTAAGCCTCCCACCGAAAAATGTCTACCTTGTTTTCATGTTACAGTTGATGCAAAAGATTTAGTAAATACTGCAAATTGATAAAAACATACAGCCGTTTGAACTGGAAATTACTTGCCCCGTTAATAAAATTAGCCGCAAGAATAAAAAAACCTTTCAAATCTTAGAAACTTAGTGGAGCTGGCTTTTGATGGCTCATCAGGTTCAGTATTGCATCTCGTAGTGCGAATGGTCCTCCTTGTGGCACGAGGATTGTTGCCGGCCGTATTGTGAAGGAGAGTTATGGGGCCGCCAAGCAGCAACACACGTTCACGGTGAGAGGAAAAAATTTAGAAACAAGAGAAAAAAAAAAAAAGAAAAACATTTTTCAATCTGTTCACACGATGGATTCGAGTTCTAGTGCATCATATTTTTTCTTATAGAGATGAGAGACGCCTTGAGCATCGGTAGAAAATATTTTGTCTTGTTTAATTTTTCTGTAAGTCAAACAAGAAGAACAAGCCGATTTTTTCTCTTTTTCTATCTTTTTTTTTATTTGGCATTTTGAAAATGATTTTTTGTTCTATTGGCTCGACTCTAAGCAGATTGAAGTGTTGTGGAGTAAAGGAGAGAAACCACTGAACCCACTTCACCCTCTACTTATCAAAGGCAGGAACCTATATAGATTGAAAACGATGAGACGGGTTCGTTTTTTATTTTTTTCTTCAAATCGAATAATTTTTTTGTCTAATGATATAGAATTTTCAACATTTAACTTTATCGTGCATCCAGAAATGGGAAGATGAAGGCGAAAGGCAGAAAATGCTGTCCGAAAAGCATGCTAGAGGTGGTGCTGCTCGTTTGGATAGAGAGGCACGCATACAAAAGAAGGAAATGCGAAAAGTTCACAAGCTGACTAGGTATCATCAAGATCATCCCTTTTAGTGAAACAAAATGCACTTTAATGGATAACCGTAACTTCAAGAACTACCCCATTAATGTTTTACCTAATTACATAAAAGCCCAATTATTAGTCGAGGATGAGCATGAATAACATGAAAGCGTTATTATGCGATAATGAACATTTAGTAGTAAAAATATTATCAAAGAATGTATGGTTGTTTCGTTTTCCTTTCTTTCTTTCTTTCTTTCCCTCACTAGTCAAAGTTTTCGTCATTTGGTGATAATAATGCTTATCTTGTATATCAGGTCAACACGAGAAGAGCACCTGAAAGCAAAGCAGGAAACAGCAAAAACTGGCCCTTTGCTGTATTCTCTACCCATAAAGCCCGATAAAAGCATCAAGCCAAATTATACGAATGCAAAGCCTAAATATATCTCAAATGCACCTATACTGCCACAATATAATATTCCTCAAAGACAACCTCTGTACGGTGTTAACTTTGTTTCTCCGAACTTCAGTAACCTTTACAGTAAACAAGACTATATTGATACTATCGTGAGGAATCATCAGAGCCATTTTTCAAATTTGAATAATTTCGTGAGCTCAACAAAGAAGAGGCTTCCATATAAAGAAAATCAGGCACATGGGCCCATGAGGAGCTCGTCACATGGGCTTGGTCACGAGCAAAAGCAGGCATGCCGGTATTATGCTCAAGGAAGATGCCACTTTGGAGATAAGTGCAGGAATTTGCATGGATCGGCTTCAAATACGTCGTGAAGTTATGAGTATGACTCGTGGGCTTTTTGGTTCCCGTTCGTTGAGAATATGATTTTGGATTGTACCCAAAAAAAAAAAAAATATATGATTTTGGAGCCAAAAGCAAGAAGAGGCTACTCTTTTTTCCTTTTCTTTCATTTTATTTGTTACTTGCATTTGCAGATGTGAGGGGTTTAATTATGATGAAAGATTAAGAAAGAACAGTTGAGATTCATATTTTCTTAACAAAATGTTTCCATCTTGAATGTGGTACATTGTAGAAGAAATTCAGGATGCTTTATGTAGTTTCAGTTAACCTTGAGGGTTCTTTTGCAAATAACAATTAGCATTGTAATAACTTCTACTGAAATTTACTTTAATGCAGTTGAATTCTCTTTGTTACATTATTTTTGGTGTCTGTTGAGAAAATTCACATTGATTAGTAGGACTTTGAGACATTTTGTAATCAGGGGCTTATGCACATAATTTTCCTCAAGCTTTAACTTTTTGTAGTTTTATCCCATTATATAATAAGTAAAAACTATCTCATCAAAACCTCAATGCAAAATGAACAGAATCATATCCCCTTAACCAAGGTAAAAATAAGGATAAATAAAATTTCCTCCCCTTTTTTCAACTTATCATATCAACTATTTCTATTTTGATCAACTATATGAATTATGCTTTTTTTCTTCAATTTACTTCCAAAACCATATCAGAAGTCATATTTGTCAAATAGCGGGTTTCGAAGGGTATTTTGGTCAATTTACATATTCATCTTAATATCGTTAATATAATTTATGCCTCATTTTTTTCTTTTTTCTCTTTCATATAAATTATAGTAGCTATTACTTGGAATAAGTAGTCAAATTCCAATAAACAGAAATTTTCCAGTTGAATTTACCAAAGTAGCCTTCTTCTCAAATTACCTTTGAACTTACCTTAAAAAGGAGCCTGCAGATTTCTTGTGTAAAACAATCAATATCTTCAGGTAAAGTTCTCGTCTTTTTTTATGTGCATCCCCTTATTTGTCTGAATATGTATTGCTTTTGAACTAGGTCTGCCATTGTTGATATGTCTTTCTGTTGCATAGCTTCGCGTTCATTCTTAAAGCATTTTCTTTGTATTTATTATTTTGTTTCAATTTTTATCTTTGATTTAAGTGTTTATTTATATATGTTCACTTTTTTTTCCCTGTAAAATGGGGCCGAATTTGAAAATCTTGATTAGTTGGCTTCAAAGGTGTGAACTTTTGTCATCTTCAGTTGCTGCCGATATTAAAGAATTGAAAATCTTTATTAGTTAACTTCAAAGGAGTGAACATTTTTATTTGAGTGAGAATAACTTTTTGAAATAGTTCCAAATGTTGTTTCTGAGTTATCTTTTGTTCCCACTAATTGGTAGTCACAGACAGAATTGTTTCTCTTGTAAATTGTTGTAAAACCCAAAATGGGATTTGATAATTTCAACCGATACTTTGTTGTCGGAAAGGGAAAAGATTAGGGCAGTTTCTATATAAAGTTGTATGTCGGAAATAATTAACGAGCACTTTATGTTTTTTGCAGTATAAAATGGCAGCCAAAGATATTATAAGTGAGTTTCAAGAACTCACCAGGCAAGCCCTTCCCAAGATGTACTATGACTTCTACGCAGGAGGAGCCGAAGACCAGCACACCCTCAGAGAAAACGTGAAAGCATTTCGTAATATCATGCAAGTTTTGAACTTGAATGTTTCGGTTGGTACCCAGACATTCGAATAACCATGTGTTAGTTAACATGCTATTTTTTTCCCTTTTCCTTCAGTATCCGTCCTAGAATTTTGACAGGTATAAGAAGAATCGATATGTCGACAATAGTTATGGGATACAAGACCTCTGCACCAATCATGGTTGCCCCAACAGCCATGCACAAATTGGCTCATCCCGAAGGTTAGCATGCGTAAAACATGTTAATCTTGAATGATAATTCTAGTGTTTTTTTTTTTTTTGCTAATGTAAAAGACATTTCCTGCAAAATGAACCTTATCCACTTTTCGCAACCTAAAACTGGATTTTCTTGCAACTAATAACATCGGCCAAACAGATTCTTCACTCTGCAAGGTCCGATCAGCCGTAGTTGGAATATTCTACCAAAGTTCAGAATGTGCAGATTTTTTTATTTTTCCTGTTTTATAAGTATGCTAAATTTCATGAATGACATTTTGATTATCCCTTTTTAAATCTTTCACAAGGGGAAGTAGCAACAGCCAGAGCTGCGGCCTCCTCAAACGTCATAATGGTACTAATCTCAAACATTTTTATCAAAATATTTGTTTTTAAAGTCTTAAAATGCTAATATATAATCTTCTCCCATTGCAGGTGTTATCCTATAATTCAACTTGCACAATCGAAGAAGTTGCTTCAAGCTGCAATGCAGTTCGGTTCTTCCAATTATACGTAATCAAATATAAAACTCTCGTGATAATCTTAAGTATTTTCATGTAATGGTCGAAATTTATTCTAGTTTGAAGAGTGAGTCCATGTTGGTTTTGTTCTCCACTTAATCGATCAGGTGTACAGAAGGCGTGATATATCAGCTCTGATGGTGCAAAGGGCTGAAAGAAATGGATTTAAGGCTATAATGCTTACTGTTGATACTCCAAGGCTTGGACGAAGAGAGGCGGACATTAAAAACAAGTGAATTTTTATCGTCCTTGGCCTATTTCTATCAGCAATTACTGTTCCATTATCCACATTTTTAGGGATAGTTACAAAAGAAACCCCTACTATTAGTATTAGCTATTACAAAACAAAGACTCCAATTATCTTTCAAGATTACAAAAAATCCTAATAAATTTATCAGTTGCACTTGTTCAAGGTCACAAGGGGTATTTCTATTATGAGAGGTAAACACCCCTTTTAAACTAGACCAAACATATCAGATTTTCTGGGGTTGTTTTAATAATTAACCTTAACAATTACGCAATGTCGTTGTACTGTACCTAATCATCCATAATCCTTTTGTAGGATGATTGCTCCTCAGCTGAAGAATTTTGAAGGGCTCGTTTCAACTGAAGTCGTCACTGTGAGTAATTTTTTTTTTTCTTTTTGTTTTATTTTTCTTTAATTTTCAAGATAAGCATCTTCATTGCCGAGAGGAAGTTTTGCTTTTATGCAGTTATAGTTACTTATTATCTGATTATGTACCAGGATAAGGGCTCTGGCATTGAAGCCTTAGCATCTAAGATGTTGGACGATTCATTATGTTGGAAGGTATGAACTAGTTTAACTAATTCATTCCTAGGCACTAATATGACTCGAAAAAATATTTCTAAGGAGACTTTGGTAAGTATATGTGACTGATCATACAGTTTATAGGTCCATTTTCATGATAACATGTCCCCATTTCTAAGATGAGGTAGAATACATTAAAAAAAAAAAAAAAAGACATCTTTTTAGCATTTATGATCCTTCTGCATTTTCACTAGAAATATGTTTAGTTGCAATACCTTTTGCAGGTCATAGGATGGTTGAAATCCGTTACAAATTTGCCGATATTGGTTAAGGGGATCCTTACACAAGAAGATGGTATGATGGCACGCATTGCACTCATGGTTTATGACTTTTTGTAGATGAAAAAATGTGGTCATGGAATGAAGCTCGATTAGTGTTTTATGGCACTCAACTTTTTTTCAACGCTATTTTGTATGCAGCGATAAAAGCCTTGGAAGCTGGTGTTGATGGTATTGTTGTTTCGAATCATGGAGCTCGTCAGCTAGACTATAGTCCGGCCACAATAACTGTTCTGGAAGAGGTTGTGTAGTTCTTTCTAAACTGGATGCACATAAATGGATTATTAACTACAAAAGTGCCACTGAAATTTAACATTCTTACAAAATCAACCCAGTTTATCTTTCAAATTGAGGTTATCTTCTGGAGATAATATTTGTAATTTCGAGCTCAACTCGGAACTGAGCTTAATGTCACCATGTGATCTTGACAAACTCTTTTATCTTCTAGGTGGTGCTTGCAGTGAAAGGCAAGATTCCGGTTATTTTCGATGGAGGGGTGAGATGCGGTTCGGATATATTCAAGGCATTGGCTCTTGGTGCACAAGCCGTTATGGTAAAACTAAATCCTTAGCTGTAATGCATTCACAATATATTGTTCGGTAACAAATCTATAATTGTTTTTTTTTTTTCGGCAATCCATACTATTTCCTTCGATATTGTGAAGATTGGAAGGCCAGTCATCTACGGCTTGTCGGCAAAGGGAGAAAACGGGATCAGACAAGTGATTGAGGTGTTGAAAGATGAGCTTGAGCAAACAATGGTAATGGCCGGATGTCGCATGGTGGTGGACATAAATAGAAGCCATGTGCAGACCAAACCCTATTGCAAAATGTAGTACACAATTGTGGTCAAGACTCAAATCCAATCAAGGGCTTGATGTTTCCCACATTGTTATATGTACAGAAAAATGAGTACATTAGATAAAGAACTCTGTGGTTTTGACAGTTGGGGTTAGTTACAAAATCTGATGCATGGAGTGTGCCTCGTCGGATCATGTAATTTCAATGCATGTGAAAGTTGCCGTGTTTTTAAAGTTTGGTTTTAGTTTGTAAACATATATGGTACCGTGTTAATAACAATAGAGAAATGCATCTACGACAGACTTCAATTTTTCCGAACTCTTTTGCTTCAATCAGTGTGTTTGCTCACTCTCTTGCTTCATAAGAGCAACAGGGCTTCTCTCATTAGTTAGTGTCATCTTGTTCGGTTCACAGCACCTCATTACTAATTAACTGAATGGAGAAGAGGGATTAGTTAACAAAAATAGATAAGCAAAACAAACTCAACTGCATCAAATGCATCAAACTTAATACACAGCTCAAATGATGAAAATATAACAATAGGTGGAGTTGCTTTGATTACTTTCACTAACTAGAGTCATTAAGCAGCTAAATTATAACGCTTGTGTATTACATTACAATCATAAAGTTGGAACCTAGACAAAGGAAAATTCCCTACTTCCTCCAATGATCATCCTACCAGGCCCTCAACGGTCTTTCAAGTAGTATTTTTACGCAAACCCAACTTTCCAACAAATCACTAAGAGTTGCTTTTATTCACGCCCGGCATGTCCATCGGGGAGTTTGCAATGCTACCAACCGAGCCCATAGTCTGCGAACTCAGCTGCGGGCTTGCTGGGCCAGGGCCAACCTCGGTGTTGGGCCCCACCATCTGGTGCATGGCATTGGCACCAGAGCTCAGCTGTGGGCTCATCGGTGTCCTCTGCTGCGGGCTTGCCGCCTGCTGTTGCTGCTGGCCCATCTGATGGCCCGATGGTGAGCCCACCTGCTGAGGCGAAACAACTGCTTGCAGTGGAGAGTTCGTTTCTTGCTGTTGTTGTTGCATTTGTTGTTGCTGCTGTTGTTGCTGTTGCTGTTGCTGTTGTAATTGCATTTGTTGTTGTAAATACATTTGCTGCTGCTGTTGGTTCATGTAAGGGTTGACTCCCGCCGGCACAAGCTTCGGCGGGCCCATCTGGCCCATCGGCGTCCGCTGCTGCTGCATCTGACCAATCCCAGCCCGGGCCAGTGCGGGCCCCAACATGGACAGGCCCGATGAACCTATCGAGTGCATCTGCCGGGCCCCTCCTCCAGCAAGGCCCGATTGAGATCCACCAAGCATGTTCAGGCCCACATTCGTGTTCATGTTCATGTTCATATTCATGTTCATGTTCATGCCCATACCCATACCCATGCCCATGCCAGCTCGATTCTGCTGCAGCCTCAGCTTCATCAGCGTGGCCTGCTCTGGCGTAAGGGTCCCGTTTCTGATGGCGTTTGTGATGTTTGCAGCCGAGCTCAGGTTCACATTACCAATGCCTGACGGGACACGACTCCCGCTGCCCATGGCCCCTCTCGAGCCACCGATCAAGCCACCTAAACCTCCGAGCCCGACCATATTGTTAGTACTGTTAATATTATTACTATTTCCGATATTGCCCATGCCGACATTCCCCAGGCCAGTAGCCATCATTTTCCTCTGCTGCTGCTGTTGCAAGAGCTGGAGTTGGAGGGACGAGTGCTGCTTGTTGTTTCCCCCCATGAGTGGGCCCCCGGCAAGCTGATGCATGCTCGCCATCGAGCTGGACGGGAGCATATTCATGGGGGATCTTTGAAATTGGGACTGCTGAGCTGGCATCTGCTGCTGCTGCTGCTCGGGACCTTGAATCGGTCGAGAAGGCATATTCGAGACTCCCTGCATCAGTCCTTGAGACAGTTGGATCGCTTGATTGTTGTTATTTCCTTGGGGTAGCATCCTCTGAGTTTGCACGTTGTGCGGCGAGTTTAGCAGTGGATTGCCAGTTGGGCCGCCGGGCCTGGCGGCTTCGTTGGGCTGCGGCTGAGCGGGCCCACCGCCGCCTTCAGAGAACTGCTGAGTCTCGGAAGAGGGGGTGGCAGGGTTTATACGGGCAGCTTTCGGTTGGAGATGATCCTCCACATCATACCCATCGCGTGCCATCTGTCACCAAAGTATTGGATAGGTGTATGATTTATACTAAATTTAGGAGAGAATGAAATTTATGGAAAAGCTTAGAGGAATTCGTGAAAAAAAGATGGGTAGTAGAGTAGAGAGTACCAATGAGCTGAACTGTGCTGCGACTAGGTCGGCAATGTGCTGCACGTGTTGATTCGTATAGATCAGAAAGCAGAAAAGCATTTGTATACATTACAGAAAAAAATAAATAAATAAATAAATACAAAAAAAAAAACAAGTCAGCAGGTAATTTTCATTGACCCCGTTTACAGCATATAACATCGCTGTTTTTTTTTGTCATCGGCAAAAAAAAAAATAAAATAAAAAAACCATCGCTGTTTTTGGTATCATCATAACAGGAAGATATCAGCAGTGGAAAAGAGGAAAAATCAGGACAATCAGTCAAGATGCAAACAGGCTAGGGTTTACCTTGATTAGCATATCAATAAATTATAACAGAAAACTATGGGAATTTTTCGGTAATCCTTGATTAAAAGATGTCATATGCTCCAAGAAACAAAAAGAAAAGCCATAAGCAAAACAATATACAGTAAGTAAAGTGTGTTCTTTTCACGTCCTCTCATTCTTGTTGTCCTAAACGTTCTATACGATGAGGAGAAAGGGAAAGGCTTCTTCGAGATAGAGAGACCAATCGAAATAACGAATTGTTCATATGATGCACTTGATAGACATTTGATCGATAACAGGGAAAAAAATGGATTAGTTTAGTGAACGCCATAGCAAGGCCGAGTTCCATTATACCTTATATAACAAGAAAGGGAGGAAAAGTAGGGTTTTGGCAAGATTGAAAAGTGTAATATTTAAGTATTCTTGAATGTAAGTTCTACTAGACAAAATCTGTACAATTATATCATTTATAGAACTAAATGTATTTGCCAACTCACAGCATTCGGCAGTGTTGGAAGGTATTCCTCTGCAGCCAAGTATTCAGTCTCCTCTATTTCTCCAATATGAAATGCCACATTACCATCATTTGGTTTCTCTGACATGATCATCCTCGTTCTTGCCTTTGTCACTAACTGGAAGCTATTACCTGACAGATACCGACAGAAAAGATCATAAACAAAGCTACACCTAAAACTCCAGTTATGTTACACAAGTGAAACACACAATGTTTACCTAATAGATACTCCCCTCTGACAGTGCAATTTGCAAAATATAACTAACCAAATAGTATTATAAATTTGGATCCACACACCTTGGATTAGACGCTCCGTCTGGACAAAGTTCAAGATCCTGGTCTTGCAAGAGTTCATGCTGCCAGCAACCAGTGACTTGGACAACTTATATGTCTCATCCTTCAAAATCTCATTGTTTACATCACTCGAGAGATGGGTCATCAGATCCTGAGCAGAATACACATTGGGCTTCCTCCTCATGGGATACTCGTCAACCTTGTTCTTTTTGCAGTTAAGCTGACACCTGAAACAGGAAGAAGCAAAACATGTAAGAAACAAAATTAAATTAAATATTACACAGCTCCTCACACTAAAGAAGAAAAGGTACGTTTATAAATTACAACATAATCTATCCAGACAATTCTAACTGTCAAAATATCAAGAAACCAATATAGTGACATTTATCGTCTGATGAGAAAAAATGATGAAAAAAAAAATGGAATGCTCACAGTCTAGTGCTTATAAAACCACCCAAATGATATTAGACTTATCAATGGACCATTAAACAAAAAGTTATTTCTAGAGGGAAAAGAGTGGTATAGAAACATGGCCACTTGTTGACAGAAATACCTCATTGTCACCATTTCTATCTTCGAGAACCTCTCAAGCATGGATTGATGATCACCCAATGCCTGAGACCCAAGAGAAGGGCTGCTTGTGATAATGGGTACACTCATAGTGCTCACACTAGCTGGAGAACCAACCCCAGCAGGCGTTTTCGGAAGAGAATTAGATCTCCGTTTAGCCACTGCCTGCACCTGGTTCTGCCGCTGCAAGGGATCATTACCACTGACCACAGATTTTTCCTTCTGAACGTGTCCGCTATTCACAACGGCTCCAAATTGATGCGAACCGCTGGAAAATTCCCCAGATCTCGATGAAAGCGGAGACTGAGGCAAGCCTCCAGCCGAAACGTGGGGACTCTGAACAAATTTCCTCTTCTGGTACGAGTCCTCCTTCCTTGGACTATTACTAATATCAAGGGCCTGGCCCAAATTGTTCCACTGGCCCTGAGCAAAACCCGATCTCATGAACTGAGCTGGCATCCTATGTTGCAGCCGTGGGTCCATACCTGTCAAATCCGAATCCTGTCTGTCCAATCTCTCCGTCTCGACCGGTTCTTCTTTCAAGTTGTATCTGATTCCCTGCTGCTGCCCGATATTGAACTGTGTGGGCCCCGCTTCCTGATTCATGCCTCCTTCAAACGCCTGCTGAGAGAATTTCTGCATGCTGCTGTTTGGGTACTGATGAATTCCTCTCCCAATCGACTGCTGTTGCATTAATGTGTTCTTCCATTGCGACTCGGATCCGTGCAAGCCGTCCATTTGTGGTCCCACGTGTTGTAGATTCCCATCAGGCCGCGCCTTCTTGTTCATGAGAGGAGATGATTGGCCGTCTTGATTCTCTCTCTTTCCGTGAATTGAAGAGGCAGAGTTATCGGAGAATGGTATCATCGCATCTTGTCCGCCAGGGGAAGATAATCGCTGGTCCTTCATCATTCGGGGGCTGGAAAGCCCGCTTGGGTATTTTGACGGGTGGGTTACAGCAGGTGGTGTTAAGAGGGAGCCGTCAGGTCCAAAGCTGTTGTTCCTTCCTGGAAGCATGGTGTTTGGATTTTGGATGTTCGAGTTCTCATACGCGGTTTGCTGTGTCTCTGGGGCTCTCTCTAGACATAACTTTTTCCCGTGTAGATTATTTGATGTTACAGCAATATCTGGAATCTGCATAAGTCTTTTCCTTCTCATGCTGCGTAGGTCAAAGTTTAACNAAAAAAAAAAAAAAAGATGGAAGATCAAAATTCAAAACCACGAAATCTTTATCGTTATAATTCATAACGATATTTACTGATACAGTAAATACCCTGAGTTCAGCCTAACTGCGGAATCATCTTTCGAATTACAAATTATCACCATAAGAGTTTACACACAATCCCAGGATTTTATTTTACCAGTTTCATAACATTCCTGATAAAGGCCAAATTGTATTTTATAACAAAAACTAAGGTCAGCGGGAAATTTGCAAGGGAACAACATTTTTCTGCGGTTAGACTAAACCACGGGATATTATTATAATCGTCCAACATTATTTTAACAATGAAACAAAGATTCTCATACCTTGCTGGGACCTGGGAAGGCAGATAGTTTGTCCAGATGTGGAGTAGGATCTAGACTAAGTTGAGGTTGCAGGGCCTTTAAGATCCTGGATTCCACTTCCTTCATCCAAATAAGAATAACCTTTGGTAAGAAATATCATAATAGGGTATAATAGAGACGAGAGGACCACTTACCATCAGATCACCATACGTCCAATCACTTTCTGAAATAGCTGGGATATCCTTCACTATGTTTTCCAGAGACATTCTTAGACGAACTCTGGTAACAACAGGTGATCTATTCCCCGAAGCCACATTAAGTCCTTCAGACGAGGACTCACGGTAATCTCGAACCTGAAGTGAATTATATAAACAAACAGAATTGGACACTATCCTGGATGCATTTTTTATTAAACCCATTTATCAATTAGCTAATGTGGACATTAAATTTAAGCAGAGGAGTGTGAATAAAAATTATCAATTTACATAAGAAGGAAGAAAAGCAATTAAAATAGGCTTCCAGTGTATCTTGACCAGGATATTGAACTAATAATATGACAAATCAGAAATCCTCATACTTTTTTTGTTCCATTTCATTACAGCATCACAAAATCATAAGTGATTTCAGTTGACACAAAACATAGCTTCTAAATATGGTGACTTGAGTATCAATATCAATTCAAGTAACATACCTCGCAGACAACTGTCCCGTTGACGTATTTGCATGGTATATCATCCAGAATGTCTCCAGGTAACCGCCCAGACTCGATTGCCTTCCAATATAATAAGTCATGTTAGATTATGGAATATATGGATATTAACTTGCAGATTTCTACTGAAAAGGGAACAATGAAAGCAGCTCTAATTATACAAAGTCACTTATTTAAGTTTCATTAGTGTTACCATAATATAAAGTCGAAACGCGGAGCTGATGTAATAAACACAAAATTGAAAAGGTCCATGAAAGATTATCATTTGATTTAGCAATGCATGAACAAAATAGACTCCACAAATGTATTATTCTCAATTCCGTGGTTTTTCAATTTTTGCAAGCATCAATCAGCATATTTGTGTTTGTGACAATGTACAGGTTCTTCCATACCATGGTCAACTGCAATTGTCTATAAATGAAGAAAATAACTAAATTCATATAGATTATGGTTATGCATTCGCAAACCTACCGAAAACATAGTCTCGGATGCTCTGTCATAAGGATGTAGAAACTTTGGTGCATCCCCAGATGTTTCACGCCCACATCCACTCTGAAATGTAACAGTGCACAAACATAACTCACTCAAGATTTCACACTTCTAGCCAAAATGATCCCATTTTTCACATGAAGAATGACAAACCTCCATCGGCTTTGATATTGAATATCCATCAGGAAAAAGGTTGAGGCAGAAAGAGACTTCATTTTCTGGAAAACACACAAGAACGGCAATAAACCCGTTATATGTATATTAACATGCTAAGTGACAAAATACGTTAAGCGGGTCTGGCCTATACGTTCCAGGAGGAATTTCTCACCATTGATTTCAGCAATCCCCTTGCTATCACTAGCCTCTCCCTATAATAAGAGAGATAGAAATAAGAATATATAAAAACAGGAGAATTGTACTGGCCAATAAAGGAAAACAGAATTAGGATACTTGAGAAAGTACAACTCTGAGTTCACATCTTCATTTTCGATTTTATCCGTAATTTCAAATAAGCAATAAACAGTCCAAAAACATTTCAGAAAGCCCCAATTTGCATCTCCTTAGCCAATCATCAACAATTATTCAGAAGCCCCAATCCACATACCACGATTCATTTCACAAATATTTCTAAAATTTCAGAAGGCGTTCAATCAATTCCATGGTTTGCATAAACAGATTTAAACCTCATGATTGCTAATTGCAGCTTCCATATAACATAACAATTAATTACCGCCAAGCTACGTGCAGAAACCGAGATGTTATCGCTTTTCTTCGAGGTCACAGCTACGATTTCTTCCGGTTTCTCGCCTTCGACCGGAGATGGGACGGCGCCGGGCGGCGGCGGTCTCGGGTGGAACCGCTTGCCGGATTTGGAAACCTTAAACGAGATCCCCATAACTTGGAAGAACTCTTGAGCAGAAATTTGATCTTTATGTACAGGATATTAACATGGAGAAGAACAAAAGTAAATCTGTAAGAAATTGTGTGTGTTCTGTATTTCTGTTTTCTCCTCTCACTATGTGCGCTTGTGCGAGAGAGAGAGAATGGCCAGTTACAGCTCAACTGGTTTTCACGGCCTGATTGGATATAAAAATGGGTGTCAACAAATTTAATTTAAATTTAATTCAATTTAATTATAGTTAATAAATATTATATGTAATTCCTCCTTATATATTAATTCTTGAGCCTAAATGTCATATTCTCACGCTTGACTGCTGACATGACAAAAATTTATATGTAGTAGTGTTGTTTATATATTTATTTTTGCTATGGAGTTAGACTTCGTACTAGACATAAATAACTAGAAACTTGATAAATGTATATTTAATTTTGTTATTTTTTCTCTTAGTACGCATTTCCTTCTTAGTTTGGACAAGTAACAATTTTACCAAATTATAATTTTCTCTCATATTTCTTTCTTAATTACAATTTACAAATCACTTTATATATTATTTATTCCTCTAATTTTTTTTCTTTATCTAGTCCATCAAAATTTTTAAATAAAAAATTTATTTTAACAATATTTTTTATCATATATTTCTTAACTCAACACCCGTGTAATACACGAGTATTATACTAATTAATAGTATAAATACTTGCTATTTCTACCGCGACCACAATCTATAAATTTAAAATAAAAAAATTAATACACCAAAATGTTGAAGAGGACTGTAATCAAAACTTATGTGGATCCTAAAGACTAAGGGGGTGATTGGATATGAATTCAACTAGTAAAAAACTGATTATTTTTTAACTATAATTATATTTGAAAAAAAGTGATATAATTAGTTGTTAGTGGATATATATTAAAATAACATTAAAAATAAAATAATTAAAATTGATTTGATATAAAAATAAAGAAAATGATTGGAAGTGATAGTTAGTTAAAATTATATAGTAGATGAATAATAAATTAAAATTGATGTGATGTGTAAAAATAATTGATTGATATTATTTAATTATAGTAATAATATTAAAGATAGTGGAGTTGCATTAAAGTTGAGTTATGATTGATTTTTTTTACTCTCTGAAAACTTTTTTGTACCAAAAAAAAAAAGCTCTGAAAACTATTAGTCAGCTAAGCAGTTACTCGGGATCATCAACAGTACAACGGTCTTTCGTCTCCTCTGCCACCACAATAACTCATACATGACAGAAACATATTATAAGACGGCAACATACAGAGTCGAGAGAAACCATCCCAAAACACAAAACCGAAAAAAGAAAAGATAAAAACTCAATCGGCTCTTTTTTCACAAGACAACCATAAACAAAGTTTTCACATGAAACAGGAAAAGCCAAAACAAAATAAATTACTGATAATACATGAACTGCTGGGCAGCTACATTCTGGAAACCTCCATCGTAAACCCCCATGGATGCCTGCTTCAGAGCATGTTGTCCATGTGGGTGCATAAGGTGGTGGTGGTGGGCCCCACCCATCTTGCTCATCGCAACTTGCCGCTCGTAAGCCAAAAGGCCGGCGGCCGAAATCCCCGGTAAAGTCGCCGGAGCCGGTGCCGGTGGGGGGAGCGGGTTCGAGGTCGTCCCAGGTGGAGTTGGCTTGTTTCCCCACAAACACTGTGTGCAAAGTACGAGTGCGTTGACATTTTTCGGAGGGTTAAGTGATGATAAAATAAAATTCCAAAATCTGCCTCGAGAATTTACACGAGTGTTTGCGAGAAAACATACTCGTGCGATTTGAGTTAGTTCTACGATTGCTTGAAGGTATGTTATTATCCCTAAGATTTTATTTTGTCCCGCAGATTTCACTCATCATTTTGTAAGGGAAAAAGATTCCAGATGGCTCTTTGATTTTACCACTTTTGGAAATTGCGTATTTTTCCAGTTATCTAGCTAATCCTCTTTATATCATTCACTTTACAAAAAGGTTCTTTTTTGGAAATAGAAAGTATAGTTCTTGATATGCTGTAGTCAACTAAGAAATTTATGCATAGGTAGATATACTTTGTATGTATGTATACCTATAAGAAGAAAAGAAAACAAACCTTGATTGGTTTGCCATAAAGGTACGACTGAGTATTTCCCATTGAAATAGCCATAGCAGCCTCTGCATGAGTGCTATACCTCACGAAACCAAACCCTTTGTCACGTTGAACTCTAACTTCCTCAATTGATCCAGCACCAAATGCATGGAAATGGCGATGAAGGTCAGCCTGGGTCACCTGGCAAACAGAACCAAGACAATGTGAAATTTGTATTTTTCATCAAATTTCTATTAGTTTACAGTCTATTCAAGCATAAGGGCAAATTTGTAATTCAAAACAGTCAAAGAGATTTTGTACTTGCCTCTGCAGCAAGATTGCCAACATACACGGTGGTGAATTGAGGGTTATTATCAGGAGCATCAATACCAGCTGCCTCTTTAACATCATCTGTAAAAAGGCAAAATTAAATCTGTGTTGACAAATAAAAGCAAAATATTTTGTCAACTTAATAGCAAAATACTAATAAAGTGTATGAGACATTTTAAGGGATGTATCATGAAGCCTTAGAGATCAGAAAACATTACAAGGTCAACCTAAATGAACATAGCAACTTATTTTTTAAATATTATTATCGGCTTCAGCTACTAAGTTCTAATGATAATTCTCATAGTTGTGAGCTACAACAAAAATATTCTTGTCGGGTTGAAAAGTTTCAGTAGAGTAATAGCTCACTTTGACTGAAATCTACCATAGCATGACGTTAATTTACTGCTTTTCCCCTTTACGATCCTTTTAATGCAGCTATACTACAGGTCTACAAGTACAGTTTTCTGACTTATTTTTAATTATTAATTTCGTTTTTTTCATAATTACAGTCTTAATGTAACCTAACTCAATATTTTCTCCGAAATTACTAACCCGAGGAGCCATTTGTAAGTTCTACGCCACTTTTAGAATCTGTATTGGCCTTTTCATCACTGGATCCAGCACCTTTGGCGGCCCAGTTGCACCGAATCGGTCGGCTGCCAAGCCATTTCCCTAAAAAGTTGCCACATCAATTGAAAACATATTTCTTATGAATAAACCAGCCAGATGAAGCAAAACAAAAAACCTTTTCACAACAAGAAATAGAAAAGATCGAAACAGTTCTCACCGTTTAAATCATTTATTGCACTTTGAGCGTCCTGCAGAAGAAAGAAAACCCAAAGGGTCAACGCAAGTTGAGGTTATTCTTGTTTAGAAAATTTTGGTAGAAGTTACACAAACAAAACCTGCTGGTTCCGGAAAGACACAAATCCAAACCCCCTAGATCGTCCAGTCTTTTGATCCCACATAACCCTCGCATCACTAAAACCAAATAGAGAGACACAATTAGCACTTAAATAAAGCTACTGGACATGTGGAACTTGAGCATTTACTTTGACAAACTACAAGATGCAAAATGTGATCACTTTCCATCTTAGGACTGAATTTGAAGAATCTGCAACCAAGAGTCATGTGTGAATGACGCGCACACACACACACAAAGAGAGAGAGAGAGAGAGAGAAAGAAAGAGAGAGAGAGAGAGAGAGAGAGAGAGAGACTTACGAGCAACTAGAATACACTGAGAAGCAAGCAAACAATATGGCATCAGTAACCTCTGGGCTGAGATCTCCAACAAAGATGTTAAAGTGACCTATATAAGATAATTAGATAATTAAAAATTAGACCCGTATTTACCAAAAAAACTATATTATATGTTAATTTTAATAAAGAACAGAAAAAAAATATGAAATAAGTCAACTCACCTGATGTGTCCACCCTATGACCACTGGCATAAGCCCAGTTAACTTTGATTGGTTGGCCAAACCTGAAAACTCAATATCAACCGCTATTCCATAATAAAAAGCAAATGAAAATGAAATAAACGATAATCTGTACTTACAGATGTCTTCCATTGAGGGTCAATATCGCGAGTGCAGCTGATCTGCGGTCAAAGTAATGAATAAATCCATAGGACGACTGCACAGACCAAGAAAGACCATTGTTCACAACATCTCGAGACACCAAACTTAATTCTTTTGAGGACATTATTTAAGAGAAAAAGGACACTTCAGAAAATTAGTGGCACCTTCTCTTTCCTTATAAGCTTACAGGCCTCCACAGGACCAGTACTGGTAAAAACTTCTTGAAGCAGTGGCTCAGTCATCTGAATGTGAATATTTCCCACATACCTGCATTTTCTCAAAAATGAAATACCTAGAAGTTTGAAATAAAAAATAAATGGAAACAGATAGTTCCTATAAGAACCTACTCGAGATATTACAATATGATAACACAGGTAAAAAGACATCAAGACCACAAATATGAGACATCGGCCAGCGGAGAACTGGAGATGATAGAAAAGTTAGAGCTAAATCAAACATGTGTTGACCACATTTTTAGGCAAATTGCACTATACGTGAAGCAGAATTAATGATGCAAATCCGTACTTTTAACCATTAACCCCTTTAAAGCCTAAATGATGCAGGCAAGCTACAGGAAGCGTGCAGTAAAGGGGAAAAACGAAAGGGGAAAAAAAGAAAAGGATAGAAACAAAAAACCCTAAACACTCACACACTGCGGCATGTATTTGGATCAAATCCAGGAGGAAGATTTCCACTTGGAAAAGGCTCAATCTGCAATAAAATGGTGAAAAAGAAAAGGAAATAAAAATAAAGAAAAAAAAAGGCCCTCCTAAAACTTTCTGCCCAGATCAACTATCAACCCAAGGGTAAATTGGAAAAGAAATTGGGANATCCTATAGTAAACATCAATTCGATCATGAAAAAAAATCACAATGAAATTCAGCACATAATAAGCGCAACCAAAAAAACTTTTTTCTAACAGAGTCGAAGGTTCTTTGTTCATTGTATGCATTCACACTTACATCCAAGAAAATATATAAAATAAGTGCAATCACTTGAAAGATTTTCTTCAACTAATTTCCACATCAAAGGAGTTATTTCAACAGAGAGCTTCCATCAAGTTGTCGGCAACATGTGCATGGCTAAATGATACAAAACTCAGCTTAAACTCACAAATAATGAACAAAAATATTTAACAGCAGATGTGCAAAAAATTGAGCACTCAACTCGTATATACACCTTTAAAAGGAAGAGTCAACAGCGCAATTGGATATGTGAGAAATAAATAAAGAAATAGATCAAACCCATAACATTTTTCTTTAAGGACTTCCAACTGTTTATACTCCAGCCGAGCTACATCATCTAGAAAACGGTTGCACCATACTACACTCGTACAAAATTACAAAGTGCACATAAGAGAATTTCTATCCAACCAAACTTACCATGTATGAAATATATTGGCATTAGTATAATCGGCTGTTAGCATTAGTGTTAAGTAAACGTGTGTTAGTTAGTTAGCTACTAAAAGCATATTTTTCACTCTTTTATTTTCCAACAGTATAAATATGTAAACTTTCTCTCATTTTCTGTGCGATGAATGAAAATACCTGGTTTTGTGTTTGAGCTCTACAGATACATTCCGAGCTCTCTACATGGTATCAGAGCTCAACTCTTTGACTATTTGTGGTGGTGATCTCCTTGAGAAACCAGATAGATTCAGAAGATTTATTGGGAAGTTATTGTGTTTGAATTTCACAAGACCAGACATCACTTACTCAGTTCAACAATTGAGTCAGTTTGTCACTCAACCTAGAACAACACACTGGGTCCTGGGAAGCAGCTCTTCATGTGATCAGATATCTCAAGGGCACAATTGACTGTGGTTTGTTCTATTCTTCTCAGTCTACTCCTAACATTCATGCTTACAGTGATGCCGATTGGGCTTCATGTAAGGACACTAGAGGTCAGTGACTGTTTACTGTTTGTTTTTTGGTTCTTATTTAATATCCTCGAAAAGCAAGAAACAAAATACGATCTCTAAATCCACAGCCGACGCAGAATATCGTGCATTGAGTAGCATTGTGCATGAGCTACAATGGTTGTCTTGTATTAGCACTGAGTTTGGGATGCCTCCTGCTCTTCCTATATCTCTTCATTGTGGCAATCAAGCAGCTATTCACATATCGGCTAACCCTGTGTTTCACGAGCACACGAAGCACCTTGATATAGACTGTCACATTGTGCGTGATAAGTGCAGAGGGTTTCATTTCCCTCTCTCATGTGACTTTCCAAATGCAGCTAGCCGATGCTTTCACTAAGCTCTTGCATGGACCTCACTTCCGTTGGCTTATGTCCAAGCTAGGTTTGGTCTCACTCACCCCAAAGTCCAGCTTGAGTATTTGCATTAGAATAATCGGTTGCTAGTATTAGTGTTAAGTAAAAGTGTGTTAGTTAGTTAGTTACTAATAGCGTATTTTTCACTCTTTTATTTTCCAACAGTATAAATATGTAAACTCTCTCTCATTTTCTGTGAGATAAATGAAAATATCTGGTTTTGTCTCTACACATACATTCCGAGCTCTCTACAAAATATGCCACCAAATTCACAAACCTTATAATCAGAATATCCAATCCACAACTAACCAACCAAAATCTAATCTCCACTCCAATCGCTGAGAACTGAACAAATAAACTACGACTGGCCAAAAAAAATAGCTCAAATCCACNTCAACCATGAGAATCCAATAAAAACAAACGACACAACAAACAATCGCCACCAAAACTCACTCAAAAACAGACCAAAGGGAAACTAATTAATCTCAACAAAAAACGAACCTGTGGAGCTGCTAAGAGACCGGGGTGGTAAAGCGACTGTTGCTGGAGCATAGCCTGCTGCTTCAATCTCTGATTCTGCATTTCCGATCGGAAATCCGATGGAGAAAACACGATGATCGAGAAGATGTTTCGAGAATTAGGGTTTGTCGAGAGAAGAAAATAGGGGATCCAAGTGAAAAGAAAAAAAAAATTAAAAAAGGAAAAAAAGAGGGAAAAAAAACAAAAACGAAAGAAAGGTACACCCGGGAAAATGAAAAGAGGGTATCTCGAAAGGGGGAAATTAATGGCGTGTTAGATGCTGTTTATAGATGAGATTTCACCGGGTCGCAAGCACTAGACAATGATATGGAGCATCCACAATGCTTGGGTCTCTTTTGGTATATGTGGCAAATAAATCAACTCCCACCCCTTCATCCCCCGACTTCAAATCGAGGGTTTGACTCAGATGCTCGTAACTACCTCACAATTGCTTGGTCTCCTCGGTCAACAGCTCCGTATAGAATAAAAAGACTGACACGAGGTCCGACTCCAAAACTGTTGAGAAGGCGATGCTCTTGGCTGGCCGGAGACCATGGTGTTGGCGTCACAAACCTAAAGATGCCAGATGAACATAGGGAGGCCGGAATCAACTTGTCGATGAGCTGCGTTGCTTTTATACTTCGAGAGGAACAATAGTAGAGAGAGTTTTTGGATTCTCTAATTTGAGTTTGGCTATTGGCTATGTAGTATGTAGATCTTATTCAAGAGAACCTATATAATAGTAATATCTACTCCATTTCTTCTTGATTAAAATTCTCTATTATGCATTTTCATTAAAAATATTGCGATTAGTTAATATTTAGGTCGCTCACAATTAGAGTTGTTAAATAAAATATATTATCTTTGTACCAAAAAAAATAAAATGTATTATCCGTGAATTAAGAATCATTTACACTCCAGCTCACTACTAATATTTGTGATGCAATAAATCTTGAAAAACATTTTTCAAATATTTTGCATCTTATGTTAAAATATGTTAGAGTAACACTTTTAGGTTCTCAATTTAAATATGGTGTGATATTATAGTTTGTATATATATTTTTTATATAAATAAAAAAAAATGAAATTATATAATCAGACTTTTACAGAAAACCATTGTTGGCGGAATAGTTGCTCAATCCAAGAGTTCATATATAAGATCATGTTGCAGTAACATAATGATTGACATAAAATATACGTGTCAAGATTTTGTGATTTTACATACCACATCAACTTTGAAAACAACAATTGATATTCGTACACATCATTTATATCATAGATTATATCAATAAATCGTGTCAACATATCATTATTCATATTACCTTAATCATCATGTTACCAAACATGTTAAAAATATCAAAGTTCCATTAAACTTTCCAACTTTCTTAGAATCATAATAACTAGTTTGTTTAAATTACATTACAAACTAGTTTATAATTTATTTAGTTAGTATATAAATTATTTTTAATCAAATACTTTTGATTTGAAATGATGAGATCTTGAGCTTATCTCACATGACTCTATGTAGTATTTAAAAAATTTCTATTAAAAACTAAAATCACCTAATTTCACCACACTATTATTATATTAATTAGTTTTCCAATCATCAGTATAAATATATGCTTGAAAGTTGAAACTACTTTATAAAATATAAATTAACTTATTAATTATCACTTTTTTTATTTTCAGTTAAATTTTCCAAACGTACCCATAATTAACCTCATGAAATAAACAAACTTTTAAAAAAATGAACATGAAATTACAAAGTACTTGTTAGCCATCTTCGAGTCATAAATGGCTAATTCTAGCCACCTAATGAATCACCCTAAAGCTCCATGGCAAGTAATAATTAATTGCCTGCAAAAGTGCAAATACACCTACAATCTCACTAAAACCGTGCTATAAGACTAAATCTTGCATCACATATTCACATTCCCAATGTGTGAATATAAACGAAAGTAGCACAACACAATCTAAAACCATACAAGAAACTTTTTATTTGTTTTTAATGGCACTTATGGCAAAATGTTGAGGTCAAGCTGCTCATCATCTTTGGTGGAAGGACCAGGATGTTCCTGATTGTAGTAAGGACCCCTAACAGCAGCCCTATAACATTACATATGAAAAACGTTGAAATAACATGGATAGAAAGTCTTATGATTCGTGCATAATACACGTTGACAAAAGTAAAATATGGTGGAAGGAAGGACGAATCTAGTAGAATCCACTCATATCAAAGTATTTGATCATACTTTAGACTATTAAAGGTATGGTTAGAGCTCGGTTTTGTATCTGACCAACTTGGATCCGTAATAAAGCGCAAACAGAAAACTAGGCACACTGGCAAAATTCAATAAACACATTTAAGAGGGGTTGGATAAGGGCATAGTTTGTTTGGTCCATCCTTGATTGATATTACTTATATGGTTGGTACACCTTTTGACTAATTTGAACCCGCAATCGATCTCACGTGACCCACCTAGTATACATAAGCATTCAATGAATCTCATGTTTAAGAATAGCATTTTAAAACTTTTAATGGAGTGCAATAGTTGTTTTAGGTTATTGATGAAAAGTATAACAATTAACTTTGAAAATGTGTATTTTCATTTAAATAGCAAGCATGCCTATTCCATAAACCAATATTTATGAAATTGTATGAAACTCTTGAAATTTCACTAAAAAGTTGCATACCTATCTTTCCTCTTCTCAAGGAACCTGTGAATCGACGATCTTCTTGCAATTGGCAGATCTAAATGAACAACAAAAATAGAAAAAGAAAAAAAAGAGAGTGACATAAGTAAACCACCGCAATTCACAAAGCACCAAAATATATGCTCCTTTTCTGCAAAAGCAGTAACTCAATTTACCAGATCCATTAGCCTCAGGCTGTGGTGAAAGTTCTTCTGATCTCGAAGTAGACGCAACAGCCTCGTTGACTATAGAACTTGTTCCCTCCCGAAAATTGTTCAGAGAAACGCCAAAAGGCTGTTTGTTATTATTGTAAGCATGAGGCCTTGGAGGGAGCCCCTCGCGTAAGGTGGGACCCGCTTTCTCTTGATAGGCCTTTGATAAAATGCCGTAAGACATTTGTGAGCTACTCCTTTTGGCTACGGACACGAGATCCCTAACTTTTTCCATCGGGTAATCATCGAAAACCAATATTCTCCCTGAGTAAAAGATCGTTAGCTGTGCACTTTTAGGCTCTGTTTTCGCTGCCTCTTTGCTGATACGAGTTGAAAAAGAAAAAAGAAACATGCAGGGTGTAAATCGATTGGTTACATAAGCTCCAGATATAACATCTTGAGAAGCTGATAAGGGGAAACAAGGAGAAAGCCACAATCTTTCTTAACAGTCTTACCACTGATTTTGTGTGAAGTTTGCAAAAATGTCACTCCCATCTTTTACAACCATAACAACAACTAAGAACTAACTTACAACACAACCAAATGCCACATTTCACAAACTTTCCTTCTTTAATCAACTTTAAAGAGTGACCAAGCAAAAATTTTCAGCCCCGAAAGCAATAATTCATTGTTTTGCACCAGAGAATACCTCCACAGCCTGTTAACCAAACAAAACTCTTTTTTCACATTTACATAGTTCGATTCTCTGACTGATTTTCAATCTTTCACTTCTACAGCTGCTAGTGATCTACCCTTATCACATACTTAACTCAAGAAGTAAGTAAAAAGGAAACGAACCTTGTGCTAGCTTTATTTGAGGCGTCCTCGACTACGATAGCAGAGGAATCGGACCTAGCGGCAAACTGGTCCATCGGTGGCTGTTTTCCCGGCGAAGGTTGAGCAGATTTCCCATTGTTACTGTGTGAATTCACACCTGTTGAAGCTGATGCGAGAGATGAACCAGGCTTGACTGAAATGAATAAAAATAGCTTTAAGAAAAATGCAAAATCTGCTTCAATAAACAACAAGTCGACCGACTTCGAAATCTCCATAGATCTATCAAGTTCATACTCCAATATCTTCACAATCCCCCGAAATTTCTTCAAAAAAACACATATACAAGTTGAAAAAATAAAAATTACCGATAGCTTCGACACTCTCCACTTTTCCACCAATTTCGAGATTCAAATCCCTGAGGCTGCCCTTTTCCTTTATGTATTGACTCAGAAGGTTGCACGTCTGCGCGAAATTCGATTTCTCCGGCGCCTTCCCCGGCCTGCGGCCGCCGGAAAAGTGTCTCGAGCTCGACATGTTAGCCGGCGAACACAAATCGTGCACGGGAACTCTTATTTCAAATTATTATCGAAAAATTTCACAAGAATTGAGAGCAGAAAAGGCTGATTGAAGTTTACGATATTCAATAGAAAAATAATAAATAAATTAATAAATAAATAGAATGAAAAAAGTAATATTTTTCAATGGACGCATTTAAGCACGTGATAATCGCGTAGCCGAAAAAAAAAAAGAAAAAAGAGAATTGGTGGGTGAGATGAACTGAATCATGCGTCGGGGGCGCACGCAGTTTCGAGAAAATTGAGGGCCCCGCGCGCAATAAAGTAAAGATAGAGGTGATAAACACCGCAAATACTTATGTGTGTTCTGACACACCTAGCAAGGTGTGCCACAAATAAACATGTTATGTTACAAAATAAACATGTGTAAATCATGTTTGCACATGTTCATTTTGTAACATAACATGTTCATTTTAAATTGCCCTGACACACGATAGTAGCACTGGATAAACACGGGACGAGCTCAAAATAGATTTAGTTTAAGTAGTATTTTGAATTTATATTTAAATAATATTTAAAATATAATAATTAAAGTTGATATGATTTAATGTATAATAGGTGATTGGTAGTTATAATTATATGACTTTGATATTATATAATGATATTGATATTAATAAAGAGAATTGGATTAAATTAAATTTAAGCTAATAAAATATAGTGACCAATAATTTATAAGATTATGAAGGAAAAGACGTGTGTTGTTCAATATCAACAGTAACGACATGAAATAAAAATGATTCCAATTTTGGTTGGTTTGATAGTGATTGGGCGTGACCTTTTACCGACACCACTAATAATTTGAATGGCCATTAAACAGTGGACTTTGCGTGAATTTTTCACGTGCAAGCATGAGGTTTTTTTATTAATAAACTAACTAGTATTCGACCTGTGCATTTGCACAAATATAAATAAATTATTGTGAGTCTGTATGCATATAATAATTAATTATTTTTTTTTCACTTTTTTGCAGACCAAATTTAAAATTAAAAGAGTTGTAATATTTTTTTTTAAATTGCGTTTATTTGATTGGATGTAATGTATATTTTGGTATGTCTTTTATTTGTGAATTATTTATTATTTATTTATGAATTCAAATATATCTTTTATTTAAAAAAAAATTAAATGTAACAACAATAATAACATCTAAGCACATTATACGGTCAACACATTATATGGTCAACTGTCATTAATCAAAAGTTTAAAATGATTTTTGTAATTTTGAAGTGATGAGTATTAATTATTTAATGATTAAATGAAAGATTAAATACATCAAAATGTAACGGTTTTTGGAGGAAAAATTATTAAATTACCACATAGGTAAAATTAAATAGGTTTTATTAAATGTTATTAGCTAGTAATTATATATATATATAGATAGCATAATAAGTCAAAGGAAACTTATCGAGTCAATAATATCCTTTAATAAGTTGATAAACTACATTGAGCTCGACGTTTTAGGGGTGATTATTTATAAATTCAAATCCAGAGTTCGGCGCTTAATCACTATTGAACTCGACTCATATAGCATATCAATTATCAAATACTATATTAAAAAGTCGAGAGCCCAAATAATCGAGTTAGTTAACCATTGTCATAGAAAATCTATATTTATTAGTCTGCATGACTCGTACTGTTTAAAAGCTTTATTGCAAACTATAGCGAATATTATGAGGGAGAAAAATAAAATAAAAGGAAACTAAAAATGATGAAAAAGACATGGCACTTGCTAGAGGCGCTGTGGTCCTTTTTTATGATAATTGATTCCTAATTTGATCTTTTTCTCCTAATTTTTGTTTTGCTATCCATGGTTTTATTGAAAAAAGGTGCAAAACGATGTAGTGAAAATGATGTGGGGTTTTAGGGTCATCTCGTCTCAATGAATAAGAGCAATACTCTTCCACGTTTAAAAAATTAATATATAACATATAAAATAAGTATATAATTATTAATTTTTATTAGAAAATGTGATTGAGCAATTGATTTAATCATTGGTCGGGATTTATAAACGAGACGAGCTCGAGCTACTAATACTTGATCTCAACATCGAGCCTTTATCGACCTGAGTCGAGCTCGACTCGTTGATCAATCGAATTCGAGCTCGTCTTGTTTAACAATAGTAACAAGTCGAGTTCGAACTTTAATGAATTGTACTATAGAAAATAACATAAAGAAAAAGATATTTTCAATGCTAGCTAAACGAGCTCGACTCATTGGCTAAACTAGTTCGAACTCATCTCGTTTCTTAATAGTAATAAATCAAGTTCAAGCCTTAATAAATTTGAGCTATAAAAATTATTTAAATAAATACTTATTTTCGAGACTAGCTAAACAAGCTTGAGCCCATACAAAAGGCTTATTTTATTTAACAACGGTATTCATCAATATTACCAACCCTCGTGCTTGATATGGTCAGAGATGAATGACTCTGGTCTTTCACAGGGTTCTCCACAATTGCGGCGTGAATGCGTTTAATTCGGTCCGGTCCAAGCTTGAGTGTTCGCCGGTACCTGCAAATACGCCGGAATTACTCCGGCGCAAGACCCTCCGACGCCCAAGTCAATATTTCGGAATAGTAAAGATTGTAATGTGTATTGAATGTAATAGTGATTGTAATAAATGATGTCCTACCTTCTTCTCTTAGAATTTACCGTATATATAGTGTTTAGTTGTGCGGACTGCTGAAGTAAACGCCATTACTAAACACCAAACTAAAGTTGGTGTTCGACATACTTATTTAAATACATTTTATCAGTATATATATATTCAATAAATTTAGATACATTTATATTTAAATGTAATGATTTTAAAATATGACATTTTATAATATAAAATATGTATTATTTGTGGTGAAGTATAATTGTCTAATGCTTACTTGTATGCTATCTTCACTATAACAAGTGATGAGCATATATATAATACACTATAGATATAATTTTAAAAGACAACAAGCTCTCAATAAGTGGATGATGACCACGTTTTAATGTATTCGTAAAGATAGGTGATCATGATTAGACATACTAACAACAATATTTATATATAGAACTTGTTAAACTGATAAAAGCTATTATTGTATGTAAGATGGACAACACTTCATATTGTCATGAGGATTTTTCTGATTTCCACACATGTATTGTATTGTACTAATTCGGTGCACAAGTGACAAAAGCAAGGTTGAATTTAAAGTGGTTCAAATAAATGAATAATGGAAAATAGAGTAATAGATATGGCACTGGTAACGTGTATCCACATTTTATTGACTTTTGCAGATGTTGTAAGAGATTTGCAATAATAAAAAATGCCTATTAAAAACGTGTGGTTTTTACTCGCTTTTTAATTCCCATTAAAAGAAAAAGTGAGAAAATAGAAGTAAAAGCTTATAATAGATTGGATGGGACATAGATAGGGCTGGACTTACACACTGT